GTTCCCATTTTGCATTATTTGGGGCTGTTTACTCACACTCAGTAACGTAATTTTTAATAACATGACCCTGATTTTTATGATTTTTTTAAGTTTGTTTATTTTTGAGAGCGCCGAGGAGGGGCAGAGAGAGAGAGAAAGGGAGAGAGAGAATCCCAAGCAGACATCCGTGCTGTCAGCGCAGAGCCCGATGCGGGGCTCAATCCCACGACATGATGGTGAGGTCATGGCCTGAGCCGAAGTCAAGAGTCGGATGCTCAAATGACAGAGCCACCCAGGCGCCCCTATCCTGACTTAGAAAAACATCAATCTACACATATGGCGAGCCCATAGGTATGGAAATGTCGGCGTGTTGCCGGTGAGACACTTATGCCAAGGGCTGGTGTCTTGTTTTCATGTAATGGATAAATACCTGTGTGATCATAAACGCAGAGAAGGAAAGGCGGCCGTGAGTGAAAGAAAAAGATACGGGATGATGGAATGCTCTAAATCATCAAGGAATGGGAAAGAAATGGAGGGCAGGGAGTATAAATACGTCCCTGGGCTGTTTTGTGAAAATCGCCTCAGAAAGGAAAACAAGGAAATAAGTAAGATTGGTAACGATAAAACCAAAGGCAGATGCTGAGAAGATGGCACAAGTTATGGGGACACCCTGTGCACCTCGAGGGGAACACACATCAGCCTTGGCCACACAGGCGGTGGTGAGCTGCCCGTCCCCGTGCATGAGGAAGGAGGGCGCGTGTGCTCCTGGGGGTCCTCCCGGGGAAGGCAGCCACTGTCTGCATCTGGGCCCTTGATGCACCCTAAAAATCATTAAATTTGGAGTCAGATCGAAGCAGGTGCCGCCCCTGCACTGGTGGTAAGAGCCAGAAGAAACCTGAAAATGCAGCCGGACAGAGCAGAGCAGACCCACCACCGAGAAAAGCTCTCACCTCGCAAACAGGTAAATCCGCACGGTTGCCTTGGCAGGTGTTGCATCAGGCTTGCCTGACACAGTGTTTTGCAGGTGTGATCCTTATTTCGGGGCAATGTGCAGTGGCCACAGGGACAGGCAGCGGTGGCCTCACAGTGTGAGCCCCGCACCTGAGGCTGTGGTACCCTCCTGGGCCGTGGAACACTGGCCCCAAGACCCCTTACGCCATCTAGAAATGATGTAGCTCGGGACCAGCCCTGGGGGCTCTCAGCTACCAGCTACGTGACTCAGAAAAGACCTCTTGGCCTCCATAAACCTCGGTAAAGTGGGAAGAATATCCCGCCTGCCGCTCACAGGGTTTCAATTAAATAAGGAAACACGCGTGAGCACTCACATAGCCTTGCGTGTTGAATGAACCCCGAGTGCACTCTGCTGTGTCCCCCTCCTTCCTCGGTTAGCCCTGGTTTTCTCCTCCACGGCCCTGACTGCTCCCCACTCCGGGTGTCTGAGACCCGCGCCCATGCCCCCGGTGGACGCAGACCGTGGCTACAGCCTCGGTGGCCCTCGTGCACCGCGCAGCCAGACTCGTCAATGTTAGCTCTGTGACGGGACGCAGACTCGTCCCTCCTGGTTTCCCCAGTCACTGCTTTCACCAGGACCCGGTTCAGCCTCACCTGGGCCCGAAGCAGTCCCAGGGGCCCCTCGCCTCTCATCTTTCCCTCCTGCACCCCGTCACGTGACTCTAGCTTTATTTTCCTAGACAGACCCGACCTCAACAGTCCCATCCCTTTCAGTTTCCTGCAGAGTAAAAAGGCTAGACCCCCGGGTAAGGCGCTCCGTGGCTTGCTCCCTGACCTTTTCCCGGGGCCCTGAGCCACGGCCTTCCAACCGCTCCCACGTGACCTGCACCGGAGCTGGTGACTGGCCACCCTGCCTGCCCACGGGACATTCACTGCTCAGCCTGTTCGCTGTGCAGCAAGGACGCTGCTTCCCGCTTGTCTTCAAACTGTACTCACCTTTCGGGGGCTGCTGGACGTCCCTCTCTGCGCCCTATCTACCGCTGACATCGACTCTCTTCTCTCCTTCCTGCCTCCACTGCAGCACAGACGTCACAAATGCCTGCCTCTTCTAGATCTGGGTGGAAAGGTCCCAGAGAGTAAACCTGTTTCATTAATCCTGGTCTCCACCCACCCACCTCGGCCAGCCCAGGGCCCTGCTCAGAGGACACACTTTAATGTCAGATGAGAGCACAGGGGTGACAGAAGGACGACATCAGACCACCTAAAAGCTGCACAGCGTAGCAGGTGCAGGGCCAGGAAAATCAAGCTGCTACTTTATTTCTTTGCAGGTCTTTTAAAGACACAGGTACACAATGTCATACTTCCCGACTTAAAAAAAAGAAAAGAGAGAGAGAGACAAGCCTAGGAAATAAAAATAAGTAAAAAGTATTTTTGTTTTCTGTTCTTTTAATAAGCGGGGGGAAAAAGAGGAAGAGGGGAAAAGAAAGGGAAGAGGAACAAGAAGAAAATGTGTCTGAGACACGAGGGGGAGGAAGAAAAAAAATGCAGAGGGACAGTGGCTGGACCGAACGCTGCAGACACAGAAACCAAACTAGAATAGACACCTCACGTGACATGGCTTTTGACAACATTCTTGCAAACGATCGTGACTTGTTATGCCATCCCTTTGTTCCTGGACTAAAGGGGTTGGAAACTCAGAGGCCGGTCTGGTTAGAAGTCAGCGAGTGTGGTCGCTGTGGGGACCGGACAGCTGCTACCCCATTCCGCTCGCCAAATTCTGCTGTCTGAGAAAATGATGTCTCGCTGCTTTTAGCTATTCCTGTATTTCAAGAAAAGACAGAAACCTGGACTTCCAGCTTGCAAAAAACCAGTCTGTGGGCCAAACAAAACAGTTCAGCGGGCGTTCGGGCTGCTGGCTTTTGCCTTCTCAACTGCAGACAAAAACAAGGCTATTTCCCCTTCCTGGTTTTTACTGAGGTGGGAAGCGCAGCCAGCCTCAGGGTGGAAACGCTCGCTGGCCATGCCAGCCTCTCCTGTCCAGCCGCAGGGCTGCTGGCTGGCTGTGTCATGCAGACCAGGAGGATGACAGCAAAAGTGGGGACGGGCCCACAAGGCAGGGGCTGGGACCCCTCCCACCTGGGGCACACCTGCACCTGCAGGAGCCCACCTGGGGTGCACCTGCACCTGCGGGGGCCCACCTGGGGCGCACCTGCACCTGCGGGGGCCCACCTGGGGCGCACCTGCACCTGCGGGGGCCCACCTGTGGGAGCCAGCCTGCAGGACTCCACAGAGGGCAAGCAGGAGAAGCCCCGGCAGTGAGCTTCTTCCTCCTCCAAATGTGAGAACACACACACACACACGGAGCCCTTGATGGAAATTAAACGAAACAGAATAAAGTAAAGTGAACGCTAATTGTGAAAGCTCAGCATACTGGATGAAGGGAAAAAGGAAAAAAGTGGTCTCAAGTTCTTATCTCAACAGATTCCCGAGTTCCTCTACAACACATGAACCCATTACAGCTCTTGATTCTGGAAAGGGTCTCCTAATACTTGTAATCATGTCCCTCTCTGTGAGGAGTCAGAATTCATTAATTTTTAGAGACAGATAAAAATTCAAATCCTACAGTCTAATGATTATACAAAATCAAAGGGGAGCATAAATTAAAGAAACAAAAAGACTTTTTATTTAAATGTTAACTTAGTAATTTAAATAAGTAATTAAAACAGGGGAAGACATAAAAAGTGAGAAAACTTGACATACGCAGAACAGCAGGACTCTTTTAATTTACGTGTTTTCCCTTCCAAGTACTTTCTGAACTGTCTGCGGTGCTCACGTGTTCGTTGATGGAGAGGTCTAATCCCTTTGAAACGTGATACTGAATTTTTAAAAATCTGATTAAAATTATTGAGTAAAACGGCATCGAAACAACAATTATGGAATTCATCACCATGAAAAATAATATACAAAGTCTTCCCCACCCAACAAGATGAATGATTTTCATAGTTCAGTGCTCACTTCCTAGCCTTTCAATACACAGGGATGATGTTGATGGTTGCTAATTGAAGTGTAAAGATGATATTGTATTCTTCTGTTTGTTTAAAAATTTCTATAATGTTTATTTTGTGTATGTGCGTGTGTGTGTGAGAGAGAGCGAGCAGGGAAGGGGCAGAAAGAGGGAGACACAGAATATGAAACAGGCTCCAGGCTCTGAGCTGTCAGCACAGAGCCCCACGTGGGGCTTGAACCCACGAACCGCGAGATCATGACCTGAGCTGAAGTCGGACGCCCAACCGACTGAGCCACCCAGGTGCCCCTCTTCCGTGTTTATTTAAAGTAACATCAGGTCATGATCTCACGGTTTGTGGGTTCAAGCCCCGCATCTGGCTCTGTGCTGACGGCTCAGAGCCTGGAGCTTGTTTCCGATTCTGTGTCTCCCTCTCCCTCTGCCCCTCCCCCACTCGTGCTCTGTCTCCCTCTGTCTCAAAAATAGATAAACATTAAAAAAATTTAAGTAAGTATTTTCAACTGTACATGAACTCCAAATTTCGATGCTACTTAAATCTCGGGGAAAATGGGTTTTCCCAGATTATGAGGCACTGACTGGCATTCGCATCCACTCCGTACTTATTTTGAAGCCTAAACATCACTTCACGTGTTCAGACGAAGCGCAGTCAGCGTGCCTACATTAATATTCCCTGTGCATGTGGAGATGAGGTGTTTTTTTTAAACGAGACTGAGCAAGCCCTCCTGAAGTATTCTCTGTGCATTACTGCAATTTTTCTGTAAATGTCTAAAGCCCTAGGACGTGATCTTCCAATTACATATGATATGCAACACTTGTTTCCAACACCTGCAGAGAAATGTCCCGCACACGAAAGAAACTGCTTTCATCTTATTAAATTAGTGTGGTTTCAATTTCACATTATCTTTAGCTGCTCAGGCTATAGTGTTACAAGTTTATTGCTTCTGCCAGGCTCCTCCTAAAAGTTGAAACCTAAAGTCATTTTCTGCTTTATTGACTTGCAGGAGGGAAAACTGAAATTATCCCGGTCATTAGAGAGAGTACTTACAATTTTTTTGCCTTCTATTAACACCGTAGAAATATTTGTTTCAACATTCTGTAGTATCACATTTCCTTTCTGTTCTCTGTAGATGAATTCTTTATCTGCAAGAGAAGAAATAAAAAAGAAACGAAACATTAAGGAGCTCAGCAGGCTTCTGACCGACACTTACACAGAACGAATCAACTATTCCGACAAAAATAGAATGCTGTGATTCATCAAAGGGTCCTTTCAATCTGGTAAAGTATATACAGCTGCTCTCAACATAACCTCATGTGAAGCTTCTCTCCGAATCTTCGCACCTATGCTACACACTGGCATATAAAACACCAGTGCCCACGCCCATGAAGTCTTTCGGACATTCTAGAGCTTCCTTGAGCCCAACACACAGTGGACACATGGAGCAGATTAAGAAACTTACTACCAAAAAGCATGGACAGTAATTGGCACTGTGGGTAGTGATTTCCTCTATGTACAGCTTGGGTGAACCGTGTTATGCACACGTGCTCAGACATCCAAACCCTGCAAGACTGTTTCGAGTTAGTCCACAACCTTCCTTGCTACACTTGGAAGAGTCGGCAGTTTCTTGGTCACGCATACCCCTGAATCCACACATCCTGTCCCCAGAGACAGTGACCGTGGTCCTTTGCATGACCAACCTTTCAATTATTCCCTCAGGAAAGTAATAAAACACACCGATCAGGATGATTGCAGAGGTGTATCTGTAGGCACGTGTGTCTCTACTGCGAGTGAAAGGGCACGTTTTCTGAAGGACGGGTTGCTGGTACAGGGCTGGGCACGTGACGAGGAGAAGAAATACTGTCTGTCCAAGCGAAGGTGGGAGTACTGAGCCAGCTTGATGGTCAAGGCATTTCACACAATAACCAGTTGCTGACGGGACCACCCGTGCAGACTGGATTAATCCAAACGGTATTATCATTTCTACTCTTTATCTCATAAATTTACGCTCTTTCCTTTTTCACTCCTTTCTGCTGCTTGCTTTGGTTTTCATTCTCTTCTTTTTCCAGGTTGTTAAGGTGGGAGCTTAGATCTTTAGTTTGATTTTCCATCCTTTCTTTCGTTTTTTTTTTTTTTTTTTTTTTTTTTTTTTACGTTTATTTATTTTTCAGACAGAGAGAGAGCATGAACAGGGGAGGGTCAGAGAGAGAGGAAGACACAGAATATCAAACAGGCTCCAGGCTCTGAGCTGTCAGCACAGAGCCCGACGCGGGGCTCGAACTCACGGACCACGAGATCATGACCTGAGCCAAAGACAGCCGCTTAACCGACTGAGCCACCCAGGCGCCCCCCATCCTTTCTAATAAAACTGATGAACGCTAAAAATTTCCCTCTGTGGATGGTGTTAGCTACATCTCACAAATTTTGATATGCTGAGTTACATTACTATTCAGTTCAAATTATTTCTAATCTTCCCTGTAATATCTGCTTGGCCCAATGATTATTCAGAAACATGTTGTTTAATTTGCAAGTATGTAAAGTTATTCTGGCCCTTTTATGTTTTATAGATTTTTAATTTAAATTCACTGGATCAAAGAAGACTCGGTACATGATTTCAGTCTTTGAAAACTCATTAAGACATTTTTGTGGTCCGTAATATGGTCTAACCTGGTGAATGTCCTCTATGCATATTTAATGAAATGATTGATACGGCCGCATTTGGTCTAATGTGTGTCTATGTGTATGTGTGTGTGTGAGGGCGTTGTATGTGTGTGGGGTGGGTGTGTATGTGTATGGGTGTGTGGGATGTGTGTGTGTGGAGGTGGGGGTGGGGGGTGTAGGGGTGTGTGTGTGTGATTAGTTTCTACTTGTTTCCCCCCCTTATTTCTGGCTTTCACTTTACTGTTGCATATTTTTCAGAATTTTAATTTCCCTATTTTAGCTGTATTTTTTTAAAAAAAATTTAATGTTTTTATTATTTTTGAGACAGAGAGAGACAGAACATGAGCGGGGGAGGGGCAGAGAGAGAGAGGGAGACACAGAATCCGAAGCGGGCTCCAGGCTCTGAGCTGTCAGCACAGAGCCCGATGCGGGCCTCGAACTCACGAACCGTGAGATCATGACCTGAGCTGAAGTCGGATGCTTAACAGACTGAGCCACCCAAGCGCCCCTTAGCTGTATTTCTTTGCAAATTTTTTGTGCTTATCCTAGGGATTAGAATACATACTCAACTTTCCACACTCAACAATGAGTTAATAGTGTACCAGCTCTGGTGAAATACAGAAATGTATCAAGTTTTCAGCCCGCATCCAGCCCCATGCTGTTATAATTGTCATGTGTATTGAATCGAGATACTTTACATACTCCACTAGATGTCATAATTACTGTTTATAACAGTACCTCATTTATAAAGAGAGCAAGAAGAAAAAGAAAGAAAAAAACAGTCTGTTGCATTTGCCCATCACTCGCCTTTCTGACGCTTTTTAGACTTGATCCAGGACCTGAGTTTCCACCAGGCATCATTGTCCTGCCTCTTGAGAACTTCCTCGAGGTGTGTGTTTGTACGGACCCGCCGGCACCCAGTTCCTTGAATTTGCTCTTACCTGAGTGCCTTTGATTTCCTTCACTTCTGAAGGATATTGTCTCTTCATATAGATTTCTAGGTTGATGGTTTTTCCTTTTCCTTTGGAAATTTCATGCCACGTCCTTCTGGTCACCATGGCTTCTAACAAGAAGCGGCTCTTAATTGTTCTTTCCCCGACACTGTTTCCATGCATTTTTCTTTCGCTGTTTTCAAGACTGACTTCTTGCTTGTGGTTTCTAACAGCCCAGCTATGATGCATTTTTGATTAGACTTCTTTGTGTTCATTCTGTTTGGTGTTTGCTGAGCCTCGTGTCTGCAAACGTATGTCTTTGTCAAATCTTCAGCCTTTAATTTGCCGAATATTTTTTTCTATTTGTTTTATCCCTCTCCTCTCCTGGAGTGCCAGCTGCACACATATTGGGGACCTTGATATTATCTAACACTCTCTGATGCTCTGTTCTTTAAAAAAAAATTTCCCTCTGTTCACCTCGAATAATTTCTATTGAGCTGTCATCACAGCTGCTTTGTCTCTCCTTTGTCATGATTATTTGACTGTCAAGTCCACCCAGTGAATTTTTACATTTCAGAATCTGCGTTCTTATGTTTAGGATTTTCCATGTTGTTCTTTCTACTGTTTCTACTTTTCTTCGGGGATTTCTCATTTCCCTGCTGACATTTTCATTCACGGAAAACATACGTACTTCCTTGTGCGTCATGGAAATATATACACTTTTAGGATTTTTGCCCCATCAGTTCCAAAATCTGTTTCATTCTGGAGTCAGACTCAGTTAATTTTCTTTTATACTGAAAGTATGTTCCCCTCTTTTTTGGGGGGGCATTCTTTGTAAGTAAGGTAATTTTGTGCTATATGCTAGACACGATGGTTGTCAGTTTCTGGACATTCTGGACTATGTTAATATTCTTTAATAAATGTGGTTTCCTATGCAACACCAGGTAATTTTCTTCACTACACAGGGGCCACCAACTTTGGGCAGCAGCCTTTTATACTCAATGCCGGTATGTTACCTACAGCTGAACTGCTCTGCTTGTCTTCTGGGCGTGTGTGGCTCACGGGTCAGAGACGCCAGGGCTCTGCTGGTTTCTGTGTTACTAATCTCTGTTCCACCCTGTCTCGTTACCCCCTCCCCTTCTTATCTTTCCAGTTTGACACTTAGCTTATTAATTTCAGCATTTCCACTCTTCTTATAGAGTCACGACTGGTGCCATAAATTTCCTGAATTGTGTCTTTATCTGAATCCACAAGTTTTAATGGGTAGTTCTCTCATTAGTGCTCTATTCCGTGCATTTTTAGTTTCTGTCATGCTTTCCTTTTCAACCTGGGAGTTACTTGGAATTTGTAATTTGCAAATGTATGTAAAACACTCTTCTTCGTCTTTTTCTTATTGACTTGTAATTTGCTACATGTGTTAGAAAAACTTGTACTATCCCCTCTGTGAAATTTGTTGACTCTGGTTTATAGCCTGAGGCGGGGTTCGTTTTTGTGGAAGGTTTCTTGCCGGAATGGATATTTTCTAACCGGAAGATGCAGGGTTCTCTATTTGGTCTTTAATTTAACCGTGCTGGTTGTACCATTCATTAACTTGCCTCATTCTCAGCCCATTTTTTTGCACGCTTCACTTTTTCTTAAAAAGCCCCCCATTGTATTGACACATTCTGGTATGATGATGGATCGATTAGTTTTCTCCTGTTCATCCTCCAGATTTTGAGTTATACATCTTGTAACTATTTTATCAGATGAGTGCAAGTTTAGAATTTTCTCACCTTCTTGGTGATTTGCAAGGTTTATTTTTTTCACTGTATTTTCCATCCTTCATATGCTTGTCTGTTCTGCAGAACGGGAGAAATAATAGTATACACCCGATATCGTGCATGTGAAGATTCAGAGACATCATGTATGGGAGACTCAAGATGAACTTAAAATGACGCCTGATCAGGGCAGGCTCTGGGGTGCGTGTCAGCTGCTACTCTTGTCTCAGGAGAAGATCTGGAATCATCTCTGCCTCCTTTTTGTCTCTCGTCTTCAATATTCCATCCCTCGTCTGCGCCTACCCCTTTGCGGGCGTCTTGAATGGCTCAAAGCCATGGGTCCTCGTGGCTTGCGGTGCCCTTGCCCTGGGTCTGCCCATGACCACCTTCACCTTGGACGCCTCTGACGGCTCACTCCCTTCGCTCCACGCTCTGTGCACACGAGGACGTGCTTCTATTTTTTTTTTTTTCAGGGTCCTTGTAGACTGCTTTGGCCAACTCCTCAGCCTGACATTCAAGGTCCTTCACATCCAGGCCTGGGTGTCTCTTCCCATTTTTTTTTATTTAGTTTGACTTGTTGTCACCGAAGCCTCCCTCCCATCACCAAGCTGCCCCAACCATACAGTTTTCTGTGCCTGGGTGATGCCTCAGACCACAGCCCAGCCTGCAATGCCCTCTCCCACTCCCTCCGGGGGACCTCTGTCCGCTCTTCCCACAAAGGCCTCTCCCCTGCAAAGCTTGCCATGCGTCTGCCAGGCGGGATTAACCCCGCTCTGCTCTGCCCCGCACCCCACT